AAAAAAAAAAAAAAAAGAGTAGTACTAATAACCTCCCTGCAACTAAAATGTAAGTGTTATAGGTCCATTAATGTTAAAATATGCTGATGTTTGGTGTACTCTATTTTAATGAGCTAAACAATGTTAGTACCTTTAAGGCAGATGGCATCAGTGTTGAGGGTTTAAGGAGCACCTGGTTGAAAAAGAATGTTCTAAGTACATCCCCGGAGATCCTTTGAGAAAAGCTGCTGCTTTTGTGCTGAAATTTCTTAATTCCAAACTTTTTTGTTTCCATTTCTTTTTTTGTTTGTTTTGTTTTGTTTTGGTAATCCTCAATGGAGTATATTTTTTCCATTGATTTTTTTTTTTTAGAGAAAGTGGAAGGCATGGAGGGAAAGAGATGGAGAGAGAGAGAGAGAATATAAGAGAGACACATTAATTGGTTGCCTCCAGCAAGTGTCCATACTGGGGCCGGAGATTCAACCTGAAACTCAGGTATGTGCCCCTGACCAGGAACTGAACCTGTGACCCTTGGGTGCAAAGACTGACACTCTAACACTGGAGCAACACTGACCAGGGCTTTATTTCTATTTTTAATTATGAAATTCTGCAACATTGTTTTATATTAGAGAATACTTGGGTTCTTCTCTCATAGCACACTGCCAGCTTGTATGTTTAACTCATATGTGTTTATAACAAAAATGAGCTTAAGGATTTTATGCAAATATTTACACATACCCCATACACACATATTACACACACATCAACTAAAAGGGAGGTGCTTCACGTCCTATACTAATTATGAGTAAGGAATTTTTACAACTGTTTAATCGTATTCTTTCCTTTTCAAAAATTCAATTTCTTTTTTTTTATATGACTATCTTGGATCATTCTGATCACAATCAATAGATATACAGTGCTAGATTATTAGCTCATGACAACCATGCCTCATTGAGACAGAGAAGATAGAAAGTAAATAATAATACTACGTTAATATTTCACACAATGGGATACCTTAGACAGTGGAAACCAGTATCCTTGCTTATTCAAGGTCTTAAAAATAATATTTCTGACCAGCAATGGATAAAATATTCTGAACAGTCTTATTATTTGAGATCCTGAACTTGTAATTCTGAGACAGTTTGACTTTTTTAAAAACATATTAGAAATCCACACATACGTGATCTCCACTCTAGCTCCAGTGTTCTCTGCTGTAAAGGAAAAGATGCTCTTTCTACAGAATGATGGGTACCTTGTATTCAGATAAATTCCTTCTCACATTCCTCCTTGATGGCATTAGGTAATACACTGGCATTCTTATCACATTATCCAAGGGTATCTGAGCAAATGTGTGTATACAGAAATGCCCATATTAAGCTGTGCTTCATGTATATGCATAATTCTAGATAATCATGTTTCATATTTAAAATTGAAAATAAAAACCCAACTCCTTATTTCTTTTCTTCAAGTTTTAGGGGGTTTTTGAAGCAATTCATGTATCTCTTTCTCCTTAGAGCCTATACTAAATCAAGACCACAAGCTGTAACCTGTGTTGTGGTGTCCACAAGTGCTTAGTATAGAAATAATCTCATCATCTATCACATTTTACAAAAGAAAAATATACCATAAGGATGAAGCACTTCCACTTATGTAATTTTATCCATCTTTTTCTTTTTCCACAGTCAAGGCATGTTACCTGGTAGTCTGAGGGGATTTTTTGGATAGATTATTTTCCTGAGATTTATCTCTAGAGAATGGAATGCATAAAGACGTATTTACTATGGACCTGAAAATATATTCCTAATTATAGAATTCATCTACAGTTTATAACCCTCCTTCCTAACATAAAAAAACAAATAGATATACAAAAAACAAAAATGCCACCCAAGACGTTGAGTTATGTATAGGAACAAAGTACTGGCTTACTGACAGTTTTCACTTTAAGTGGAAATAGAAGAAAACAGAATTGTACCTTAATCTTGGATGTCACTTTTTTCAGATACTGGGATTCCAGATATTGAAATAGAAAACAATGGAACTCCTCATGATAGTACTGCTATGCAAGGTACAGTAAACATCATATTTCTCTCTATGACTGCTTAATACCTGACCCCTAGGGGTGGGGCAGGGGTGAGCTCCTATGTTCATACTCTTCATATAAGTAAAATACATAAGCTTAACTCTTCTTACTTTATGACAGAGGAAGAAGTTAGCACTGGTTTTTTGTTTGTTTGTTTGTTTTATTTTGTTTTAATCCTCACCTGAGGACATTTCTTCCATTGCTCTTCAGAGAGAGTGGAAGGGAGAGAGAGATAGAGAGATAGAAAGAGGAATTCCAATGTAAGAGAGACACATAGATTGGCCACTTCCAAACTGGGGCCGGGGATCGAGCCCCCAACCGAGGCACGCTCCCTTGGCTGAAATAGAACCCGGGGCCCCTCATTCCATAGGCCAGTGCTCTAGCCACTGAGCCAAACTGGTCAGGGCAGCAATGTTTTTTAAAGATTATTTACATATATACATATATATGTGTATGTATATAAAAACTCATATTTTTACATATATAATGTGAGCAAATTTATTGTATGTTTAGCTGTTAAAAGGATGTACATTTATATGTTAGGCTTATTATAAAAATGCATGTGTGAATATAATTTACCTTTCAGTAGTGTACAATAATATGCTTTTAAAATCTCACTGATGTTTTTAAAAGCCACAGGTACAATAACCATAAAGTATTGATATTTGAAAAGTGTTCTAGACAACACTTTTATCAACCTTTAAATTTTGATGCTAAATTTCAATGATTTTAGAAAGCACCTAAATATGGATAAAAGAGCACACCTTGTTCTTTATGTTTCGTGGACTTCTGGAAATGCCTAGATCCTCTAAATAAAAAATATTTAGTAGTAAAGAAAATACTACTAAATGAAACAAATCAATATAGAGTTTCACTAGAGTGCAAAAGCATCTAAAATATTTTGACCACTGGAGTTTTTCCAGTGTGATTCTAATGCAGTTTTGTAGCCCTTCGTATGCTGATTATATTTATTTTCACAATTATTGTGAATAAATGTCTCAGTTTGATAAAAAAAAAATAATAGGTGTCTCCATGAGAAAACTTCCTAACTTTCAAAAAGGAAGATAACTATGGATATGTTGCTTGCTGGAGGTTTAACTAATTGGTGCCTTTCCACTGTCTGATGTGACCAAAACATCTATTGGGTTAATCTGAGAGTCATCATTTGATGGGTCAGCTTCACAAATTTTAGAGACTCCTTCATGTAGTTTTGCATGTCAACTGTGCAAAACCAGGAGTGTCAGAGTTCATATATCTTCCGATAGTGTCTGATTCTGCTGTAGCTGGCTAGACATAACTAATGTATTAACTAGATGCATTGCTAAGTGTGAAAACATGCGTGTTTAGCTCATTCAATAAAGCTTTTGCTGTCTCTTATGTCATTTTGCTTGCTTGCTTTCTTCCCTCAACTTAAAGGCTATGTCTATATAAGCAAAGCAAATTTGAATGGGATTCAGTGTTTGTTCTATCAATTTACCACAGTGTAATTTATGAAGAAAACCCCACTAGTTTGGGCTACCACTAGTTGAGGTTACCACCACGTATCAGGGCCAAGGCAGGATTGAATAAACCTGGGTCATTTTGATTCCTTCTGAACCTGTGAAACACAAATATAAACCTCGTCTTAAAGGAGCACAGAGTTTGATTGTGTCCCTCCTTTGAGTGGAATGTAAGATCAGCTTTGGAACTGGAGGGGGTAAACCAAACTTACCGTCAATGCGTTGTATATATTTTTTAAATATATTTTTATTGATTTCAGAGAGAGGAAGAGAGAGGGAGAGAGAGATAGAAACATCAGTGATGAGAGAGAGTCAGTGATCAGCTGCCTCCTCCATGCCCGCCCCCCCCGCTGGGGATAGAGCCCAAAACCTGGGTATGTGCCCCAACCTGGAGTCGTACTGCGATCTCCTGGATCATAGGTCGATGCTCAACCACTGAACCACTCTGGCTGGGTGGTTGTATCTTTATTATGCTTTATTCTATACTCCTACTTCATCTATGTGTGTTTAATTTATATGATTCCTTTAGTACACAGTAGTAAAATCTTTCCCCACTCTGAGATAAATATAAGCTTTTGAACTGTCTTAAAAGTTTTCATTTCCATGCACCAAACACCAGATATCTTATTCATGGGAGGTCAATTATGTGATATAAGCAAAAGGTACATTCCCTATCCATTTGGCACATTTTTAAAAATTTTAATGGAGCTTGTAAAAATGTTTTTTCATATTAATTTGTGATTAAGAGAGAACACATTTAATATTTTTTCACTAAGCATAATTTGAATGTGTTCTACTAGTTTTTGCTAGTTAAGAGAATTAGATATACCTTTAAAATGCTTGAGATGGAACTGATTTTAAACTTAAGAAATTAACTTTATTATTTTTATTTCAAATTACAATTCAACTTGTCAACTATTTGTGGTTAATATTGTAAATATATGGTGGGTTAAAATTTCCTTCCTAAACATCCACCTTTTAAGTTATATTAAATAATGTTCTTGATAAACATGCTAGAAATGGAAAAACACACATTATCACCTCTCTTAGGATAGAATTTAAGCAGTATAAATAATAAAGTTCTTATCATCAACTTAGGGAATGAATGCCATATCTTAATATGACAGTGAATCACAATTTAATATATAAAATATTTTAACCAAAAATTATTTATTCTATTAGCTAGGGATATTGTTTTCTGAAAATAGTATTAGAACTCATCTTAAATATAATCAACAAATCAATCAATTTAAAAAATTACCTGAAAAATCCCAATATTACTTATTATTTAAGATGCTCAGAATTTAAAGACTATGTTTTTATGTATCTATGAACTTCAGAAAATGTATAATGCTTAGAAAACATAAAATGCAAGGTAATCCATTATTTTTTCCATTCTTCTTAATATTTTTGCTCTTGTGTGTTGTAGTTCTTTTCTTTTGTGACTTATTTTAATACTGTTTTATTCTTTTCCACTTATCCATTTTTCAAATAAGATTATTTCCTAGTATTATTTATGAGGATCAATTTATGTATGCCAGTCCAATGCTGTTTCCAAAACCCCTCTCCATCACAGCAAACAATTCCAACATCAATGAAGTCTTTTCCCTTTCTATTGTCAATAACTCTCCTGGATAGAAATCTGTCATTTACCTAGTGCTTTCCCTTTGAAAGTCAATTAGTTTCACTGTGACAGGTCCTTAAGAGAGTTTAAAAAGGACTTGGAAGAATGTTGGTTGGCCATCTTGAGAAGGAATAAAGTTATATATAGTTTATTATAATTTCCACTTGGATTTCAGAACAGGTAAACTACCCATGTACTAGGATTCATACATGTATTTGAAAACTAATTAGCTTAGTTATCACATGTCTGTTATGCTTTGGATGTTATTTGACAGACAAGATACCATGTACAGACCACCTTCTGATAAAAGGATTTCTGTATCTTTTGTATTTTATCAGTCTATGATAACAACTTTTCCTGAATATTTTTTTAAAGTGTTATTATTATTTTTTAATATATCTTTATTGATTTCAGAGAGAGGAAAGGAGAGGGAGAGAGAGAGACAGAAATATCAATGATGAGAGAGTCATTATAGGCCGCCTCCTGCACGCCCCTGACTGGGAATCGAGCCCGCAACCCGGGCATGCGCCCTGACAGGGAATCGAACCCCGATCCCCTGGCCCCTAGGTGGATGCTCAACCGCTGAGCCCGGCCCAGCGGGGCTTCCTGAATATTTTAAGGTGATTAAGTAATGAACACATACTCTGATGGCTGTGTCTACTATTGCTGGAGGTGAAGAATTTGGTGGAATATATACACTAAAATCCTCTCACCTAGATTCCCATAATTCCCACAACAGTTGGAGACTTGCAAGACAGAACAGCGACTATCTTATCAACCAATCTAAGTTTCACATAAAATAAACATACCAGGTGTCATTAAGTGCACCTTCAGATCAATGATTTTTTGCAAATGACATTCAAGTACCATTTGTGTAGTGCATTTTTGCTGATAAAAGCAAATTGAATTAGTGCAACTACAAATGCGCTGATAAAAACTCAAACGGAACGGCAGTACCATTAGCTAACAAAGTAATATTTTCTCTTTACTGTGTTCTGCCATTTAGTTATTATCCTATTGGAAATCTAATTATAATCCTTTTACTCCCTAGTCAGACTTCACAGTTTTTGCAAGCTTAGCACTGACAAGTGATTTCATTACATTTGATTGCCCGTGCCCAGATTGACTTAACTTCACTTGGAGACCTAAAAGCCCTCTCAGTTTCTCAGATTCCCCGTTTGCACATTACAACAACAGCTCCTTTAATTAATTAGCATGAACAGCAGTAACATGAACTGCTGAACAGAAAATAATATCATTTTATGATCGCAAGGAGACTTCCCTTTTGCATGTTTATACCTTAGTTAACTTTTGTATAACTATATTTCATTATTAGGGGCTATTGGTACAGTTGATAGTACATGTTTCTTAAATTTTTGAAAATTGACATCATTCTCTTAATGATAATAGATTTAAAAAAACAGTATATGAAGACTGTAAATTTTAGAAAACAGACAATAGCCTTCATGAACTTTCCAGTAATAAAATTAAATTAAATTAAAAGTTCAGGGAAGACAGCATCATAAAGCACAAAGACTTAGTGACACATTGCTCGTGTTTCTACTACTGCATTTGTTGGGGAAAACAAAACAAAACAAAAAGCTAAGAACTGCCTTTTCAAGAGTACTGTCAATCTCTGTGATTAATTTTTACATTTGCATTGTTGCCTACGTGTTTGACAATGGCACAAAATGATTTAACACTGGAATATACATTTCTTCTGACATTTTCCCTTAAATATGGTGGAATCTTAAGTAATTATTTTCTTTTTTTGCCTCTAACCTTCCAGAAGTAGATATTAAATCCAATCTACATGTCAAAAGTAAACCAAAATTTTATGTAAAAGGTAAACCTACTTTAAT